TGTTGAATACTACTGTAAGGTTAACCCTGCCTGGTTTACATGTTTGAAAATGATTAACAGTTTAAAACATTAAAAATGTTGAAAAGTAATAAAAAAGTAATCAAATGTAATCAGTTACATTACTTTAATAAAGTAATTGAAAAGTTACACTACTTATTACATTTTAAGTAGGGTAACTTGTAATCTGTAACCTATTACATTTCCAAAGTAACCTTCCCAACACTGGTAATGCATATAAAGTAAGATTTTTTTTTCTACCAGAAATGTTTCTCGCACTGGGGTTATTTGTTAAGCCTGATCTAGATGTGCTATTAGTGTAATGGAAAATAAATTCATGACTCGAGAGTCTGGGGAGTATGAAATATAAAATGAGTAACTTCGAAAGCAAAGAAATGTTTAATTCTTTAGCATAATAGACCAATTTAGAGTAGACGTCACAGTTACGTCACTTGCAGCTGCGCGCGCATAGTGGTTGCAGAAAAACACTGGGAACAAGTGGAGGTAAATGGGTAAAATCCATGGAATAAAAGAAAAAAAAAATGTTTGAGGCTCCGCCCACAAAAACGTCACACCTGTTTCGGATCTGTAAGAGTATCGCACTCTCTAACGTCAAATTCGTTGAATAACTGCTTATCGCTGGGTGACAAGCTCTTGTAACATGCGGAGAACATTTTGAAAATGACATCTAATCAATATAATTTATAATCTTTTTAAACCTAACTATTTTGTACCGTATCCGTGAAATTCTCTAACTGTAAAGGCTATCTCTCCCGGGTTTTCTGCAACCATGATGCGCGCGCATCCTGAATGTTTACAAACCGATAATTGGTCTATACTGACATCTAATGGTGGATTAGAGGAATAGGTCTAAAGGTTTAGAGAAATCGTCAAATATTCAATATTCAGATATTTTCTGATGACTTGTAAACCAACATAACAAATAATAAAATAATACATTTTAGAAAATAAATAAAAGTTCAATCATTTGAACTTCATTTCAATATTCAATTATTTATTTTTTATTCTCAGAAGGATATTTATATTCTTTAGACACCTCCAGGGCCTGTCTGTCAATTCTGGCATGGTGTAGATGTTCTGTAAGGCTTGTAATGACTCATAGAAATGTATGGTGCACATCCTCTTCAAAGCTTAGTGGTCCCCATGGCACAGCGGGTCCCTACTTCCAGCTCTACTTCCAGGCTCAATGAGCCCTGCTTGATTTAATAAGGATTTTACATTCTTCTCAGTTTTTGATGTTGAATTGCCGCCATAATTGTTTAAACTCAAAAAGGCTGGTGAAATAATGAAAATCCAATCACAGCAGTTTTAAACACTTACTTTATACAAAAATACAGATAGATAACTATACAACAAACATTTATAAAGCTTTTACAGTAAGCCCAGCATTCTGCCATTCACTTCATAAAAAGTGGGATGCAACCTACATGAGGTGAGCACTGACACAGGCTATATTCCAAAAAATGATTTGCAACAGCAATTGCATAGACATGAACACAAAACCAGTGCAGGTAAAATATAACTAGAATACTGAACATCTGGACAAGAGGCAGATAAAATCACAAGCACAGAGCAGAAGCCTCAAATTGTTTAGCCAGACGTCTGTGTGTGATTGATGTAATGTGTGTGACATACGGTTCTAACAGAAGAAAAATGCACATGAAAAAAAAACTGTTACTCAGTTCCATTCATGTAACAGATAAGGTCATTTCATTAATACAGACTTCCCATCTTCACACAGAGACTAAATTAAGTTTCTGTGATATATGAACCTGAGCAAAATCGCAAAATGCGTAATGGAGTTAAGTTCCACTTACTTAAAAGTAAGTATCACAGCTAAATCAGCAACTGAGAACAAATGACATTTCATGACATTATGTCTTAAGTGGTCCTGTGATGAAAAAGACAATGAAGACCAACAAACTAACAAGGAATTTAATAAATTAATAATACAGTAGGTGCATTTATAAGTGTATTGTCTGCAGTCATCATGGCACATGAAAATGGGTTTCTTCTAACATACATCTGGCTACACAAGTCTTCGACGTATCTCGTCCTCATCCCAGCTTATTTTGGTCAAGAGACCATCCTGAGGCCATCTAAAAAATTATTTAAAAATATAACCAACCGTGGGTGATCTGAGGCTGCGACTAATTTTAACACCACTGAATAGTATTAAATGAATGAAAAACTAGTAAATGCTTAAATAAGCAAGAACAAGGTATGTGAACTGCATGCAACATCATGTATGAGAGTTAACAGATGTATGAGCATTATGCATAAATAGGAGTGTAAAGGTGCGGTCACATTAGCGAAGTTTCTGTGAAATTCACGCAGAAGCCACTTTCACACCAAGCAGCTTTCTGTTGGTCATTTGCAAGTGACCAACTTGAACCCACTGTGAAATCTGTGTGAGGAAATCTTTGCAAAATGTCTGGTCATGTGGATTCCTATTGAAATTACAGATTTCGCCAGTGAAAATTTGCTGAACAACTGTAAATGTGACAACACCTTAATGGTAAATACATCCATTCAAAAGCTTATTGTGTCTCTACAGTATACCCTGCAATGTCTTAACATAAAATCAGTGGCAAAGTAACCATTACAACTCACGTCACTCAATTAATATTCATTAGCTGTGCTGATAAGATTCACATTATGTCTCCAATTTTCAGATCATCCCTATGCCGCTGCAAAAAATATTCTGAATAAATAAACTACAAACATTTCACTGGCTGAATGCTGAAAAGTCACATATGATACAGTGAAAAGCAAACCTTTCTCTATTTTAAAACTTATATAAAACACAGTCTGATGTACATGGTTCAACTGTTCACATTGCACTGTTGTACTTCAAGTAAGTGAATTTTGCATTTGTCTTGCATTGATTATAAGAAATAAAGCAATGATTATTCAAATGACCTGCAAATATCTACTGGTCCACAGTCAATGAGCTGTAAATGAAACTCAATTCTCATTAGCTGCAGTGGAATGGAGATTAGCTGTTCTTCTACTTCCAGCCATTAGAACCTGACAAATCAGAGAGATATCAATGAGATGATGAATAATGTATAGTGCATTCTTTCTTTCTTTTTTCTGCATAACACAAAATAAATTTGAAGAATGATTGATTTTCATTGTACGAACAAAAAACACAGACATATTTAAAATGTTATGTTCCACAGAAGAAAAAAGTCATAAGGGTTTGGAATGGCATGAGGTAAATGGTGACAGAATTTGAATTTTTGATTGAACAATCCATTTAATCATCATTTTCTACCTATGTCTAGATGGACCGTAGAAGTCCAGCATTTGGGTGCTGGCTTGCTCCAGATTCCAGCTACATCTCTCCAGAGCTTCCACACATTCAGGCCGAGCCTTCAAACCCAGTCGAAACAACTGCTCCACCTACATCAGGAATCAATATATATGTAAATGCTCTTTTATTATCTAAGAGTATTTCCCTCTTTTGAGTCCGAAATGAAGCACACAGATACCTTAAGATATTTCACGGCCTCCTGAGCATTCCAGCCATGTGTCTGAAGGGCCGTTTGACACTCCTCTACAGTCACTCCATGTACTGCCTCCTGCACCTACAGAAACACCCAATCAGTCATCTTCGAATACCATGACATCATGGATTTCTATATTGCCTAAAATATCTAGGTTTTGGCTTTGTTTGCGTGTGCAGACCGATCGGTGTATGACATCAAAGTACCATACAGACGGTTATGCTTTCAAAACGCTCTCGAGGTACTTTGATGTCAAACACCGATCGGTCTGAGCTGCTTTTAAGTCGAACACACCTAATATGTACGCGTAATTGCATCGCTTTGACCGTAGATCCCACCTTCTCACACGCCATGATTGGTCCATTATGTACAATGCTTGCATGTTATTGGTCAAACTACTTTTCGATCATTACCTTCAGCAAGCATGAAAACAGGAAAACAAAGCCAAAACAAATCCTGGCCAGGACGCGTCCGGGAAAAATGGCACGTATGGTCACCCTATGATAAGCTGCTTACTTGTTGGAGTGTGACACGGTTGTAGGCACCTGCTTGGGTGCTGCTCGGCCAGGCCAGACGACTGGAGGTCCGGCTGTTGGATGTCCCACTGGTGTGGCTGGGCGAAGTGTTGGGCTTGTTAACTTGCTGTTGAACCATGGGTCTCACAGTGGCCATATTTGTAGTTTTTTTCTCCGCATTTCCCTCAGAGTCCTTTAAGAACCTGTCATACTTGTCCAGGTATGCTGGTTTCTCAGGTAGCAAGTAGTAATGAGTGCTGCTGGCCTTCACGCCACCGTACACGATAGGAACGATGCATGGACTCTTGGCTGGAGTCTGGGCCACTTCAGTAGAGCCGTACTGAGAACTTGTAGTGGTGGCCGTGGATGTAGAAGACATGGCAGAGGAGCTGGATGGTGCGGAAGAATATGACGACGGGGACAGGCAGGAACCCAATGATCCAACACAACAGAGGCTGGATCTTTGCTGAGGGGAGCCACCTTGCGGCGCCATGGGGCTTGGTGCCCGAGAGTTGGGTTGAGATAGAGCATGATCCCTCGGGGGTATTTGAGGCGGACATCGGCTCCCGTCTTCATTGTCTCCAAGGGAAACTGACAATCTGCTGCCGTATATCCCTGCCCGCTTAGAGGGCCGCATGGGTGGGATGGGGATTCTTGGAGGGATTTGAGGCTTGTCCTCATAGGAGGACGGTAGGATGATCTGGCGGTGTGGGGCGAGAGCTGAAGGAGTCGGGAGGGGTGAAGAAGGGAGGGAACGTCCAGTCGGAGGGACCCGAAGCTTCACCATCACCTCCCTTTGTAGCTCCTTGAAGATGTCTGCTGATTGTGAAAAGGAGTGGGTTTCCTCAGCATGCTTGGTTGGTAGAAAGAGATTGTCCTCCACGTTGTGTTTACTATCAATTTTAACATCATCTTCTGATTGTGTCTGTTCAGATATAGTGTCTTCCTGTGACACAGATGCATTTATGGAGCTCACTTCCATGTCTTCTTGCTCTGCACACTCCACGGCCACATCGTCGTAGGCCGGAAGAGGAGGCAGGGGCCACATGTCCCAATCCACCACTGGAGTAGGGTGCATGGGGTTAGGCAGCGCTCGATTGGGGCTCTGCGGCGGCGCCATATCCAAGATGGAAGCAGCGTAGGATGCAGGTGGCTTCGCTGTGCTGGGATTGGGGGTCTCGGTAATGGGGGAGGGTGATGTAGAGCTGAAGCTATCATCTCCAAAGTCAATGAGCGAGACTTCGCTAAGGCGGTCACTCAGACTAGTGCTTTCCCAAGGGCGGAGACGCAAACCCAGGTATGTGGGAGTCTTAAGAGAGAGCTTCTTCACACCTGTCACTATCAAATCATCATCGTCATCCAGCACAGAGTCATAAAATGGTTCTGGAAACAAGCCATCAGGCAAAATTTTAGGAAATTTGTTTTTGTCATGCAGTGATTGCAGTGAAGAAGAGAAATGGTTCTTACTCTTAAGAAGAACGGCTGGTTTAGGAGGTCTAGGAGGAGGTTGTTCTGACACAACAGTTAAAGCAGAAAAGATCAGAAATGAAAAAAGATAAGCAGAGCAAAAGAGAGAAGTGGTGAATCTGAAGAAGAACAGAAGAGCCCAATTCAACAAGATCAAGTGATTGCTTACTTTTAGCCCGGTTTGGAAGTTTAGTGGGCTTGGCTGCATTTAAATCCATCCCAAGAACATCTGGTGGATCCATGGGATTACCAAGGTACAGACTGAACACAAAGCACACTGGGTAAATAACAAAATCCACCTCTACATATTTTCACAAGATACAGTTGTCTAGTGGTTCTCAACAAGGGGGCCAGGGCCCACTGGGGGACTTCTAATCTAAATTAAAATGCTAATAAACATAAAATCAAGATGGAAAGTAAAAATGATTTCTTACATAATATAATAAAAATTATAAAACAAAAAATAAGATAAAATATTTTTCCCCTCAATAATTGTTGTTTTTAGTCCTTGAAACATTTGAAATCACAAAATGAATCATAGTTAATTAATATATCAAAACTTCCAGCGAATAAAAAATACTGTGTTGGACAACAGGGGACTGAGTCAAAAAGGTTGAGAATTGCTAGTTTAGAATAATATATTGGTGCTCTCTAGTGGTGAACACAAGTAAAGCAATCTGTTCCCTGAGAGATCAAAATTCCATAGAGTCGGTTAACAAGAGGTCACTCGTAAAAGGTCATGGTATCTTACTCATCAATCTTGTCAGGGGCACCCCAGCTACGGTGTGGGTCTATGTCTCCATGGCCTGTGTGGATGAAACTGTGCTTGAGAGGTCGGCTGATGTCGTGAGCAGACAAACCAGCCACAGAAGTCACCACATTCCTCGGGAACTGTCCTACCTTCAGGGTCTGTCTGTTCTGACCCCTCCACCAGTAGTTCTCTGCTCTGCAGCACAGAAAAACGGGTTTAAAAGTAGATTTAAAAACTTGATTTTTTAAAAGATGGCTGCATTCATGTAAATAGCATAAACGGTGCCAGACACCTACACATCGAAGTTTATTACTTTAAGGGGTTAGGAATTCATTAACAGCATCACAAATAATTTAATTTATAAAGGCAGCCAAATAATTTAATTTATTTAAATAACTGCAATTAATCTTATGATGATTTTTATTATCACATTTTTTTAAAGTGTTACAAGTTTTTGAGTTAATATGAATTTTTATTAACTTACATTAACATTACATTAGCTTATGTTGACATTCTTTAAAAACATTTTCCTTTCCTGGATTGTAGGTTGACTGCGACCACATGACACATCCACACCTAACACCAAACAAAGTGACAAAATATGTCCTCACCTTCCCTCAATTATGGTGATGATGTCGTTAGCATGAATTTTAAGTTTGTCTAGCTCATGAAAGTCCTGCAGTGCCCTCATGTCAGTGGGCATTGTCTATAAGCAAATTAGAAAGATTTCATTGATTAAAACAACCTATAATTATTTTGACATTCTTGTTTACATGCAAGACCTTGACACAAGGACAATCTCTTCATTATATTCACCCTCTGCTGTTACTATCTAAGACTTTTACCTCCACAAGGAAGTCCCTGAGGGACACAAATGTTGGCCTGTCCTCAGGTTTGGGCGACCAGCACTGCAGCATGACATTATAAATATCCTGTGGACAATCCTCTGGTTTGATCAGCCTCTCTCCTTCCCTATCGATCTTATGGAGAATCTATACAGAAGGACATACATACAAATGTCACACAAACTTTACTTACAGAAAAATAGATTTCAGGGTCAGGTATGAGAGTATACCTGGCTACCATTGAGTCCAACCCAAGGTTCCTGCCCATGAGTGAACATTTCCCACAATGTTACTCCAAACATCCAAGTATCACTGGCATGGGAGAAGGTTCGGGTCTTTAGGCTTTCTGGAGCACACCTGGCAAAGCACAGAGCATGTTGATATGAGCTCAGGGAATTAATAATAAGTAGAAGTTGGTATATTACTCGTCTCACCAGGCAAAAGGGACTTTGTGATGCTCCTGCATCACATAATGATCATCGTTTTTAGGCAAGGCCCTCATTAGGCCGAAGTCACCAATTTTGATGAGGTCGTTGGAGGCTAAAAGGATGTTGCGTGCAGCCAGGTCTCTGTGAATGAATCGTCGGGACTCCAGGTACGCCATGCCACAGGCGATCTGAACGGTGTAATGGCACAGTACTGATATCAAAATATGACCCTGACGCTTCCTCAAGCGGTCTAACAAAGAACCCAATGGGGCAAGTTCTGTCACCTAAAACACAAAAAAGATGGACAAAGTGCTTTAAAAAGTTCACACAAAAGGAACATCATTTACACTAGTGTTCAAAAGTTTGGAGTCTGTAAAATGTTGTTTCTGAAAGAAGTTCTTGGAAAAAAGTGGTTTAGTTGTATTTTAAACATGTTTTTGCAGTTTTTGCAGTAGTAATTCAATTATCAGTCCTCACCATCTTCATGGGGTGTGTGAGGACAACACCATAGAGATGAATGAGATTGTGGTGGTCCAGGGAATGCATGGCATTAACCTCCCTTATGAAGTCATCTAAACCTTCATCCTGTTCCAACAGGTCTGTCTTCAGGCACTTCACAGCCACACTCAGCTACAGCACAGGAAGAAACGCTATCTATTATATTATTTTGCATATGGATAGCTCACCATTACTATAGTCACTTATTTTCCTCTTTTCTTACCACTCTTCCAGACGGGGCCTGCCATTCTCCACGTTTTACCACTCCAAAAGAGCCATCTCCCAGTTTCTCGTAGAGCGTGAGGTCTATTTCACTGATGATGCAGGTGAGATTGGCTGGCTGTCCATCTGGTTGAACTGAGGATGGGGATGAGCTGCGGGACACCCCTGAGGTCTGGGAATCCGAGTCAGACCGCTTCCCAGTGAACACCTGCTGGCCCAAGCACAGAGACTACGGCTGAGGGTGATTCCACCTGCCTCTGCCTTAAAGACGCAGTAGCTCCTCATACAGTAAAACATGCCATTTATAAACCTGGCCGACATCTATATGAAACTTAAATGCTCAAACGGCTTTGAAATCATCCTCTTGCATTTACCCGAATCACTTCAAGCTTGATCAGAATAAGGTCAAGAAGACATAGCTGATGTAAAATGCGAAAGGATTCTTGATCTTAAATAACCTAGTGTTGCCATTGTAGCACATCAAACGTTAATACTCTTCTGGGATGTTTATGTTAATGTTTAAGTTAATGAAATTCACATACAAAGATGTCTGCCTTTATGTGTAGGCAAAAGTTAAGAAATGGACATGGAGGGGAGACTCTGTAACACCACCTTTTGACAAAATCGAAATCAATTTTACCTACAATCTGTCACAACTTGGTTGTTAAAAGCACACAAATAAGAAGATGATGATTCAAAAGTCTTTAATAATCCACACTGAAGAGAATTCAAACAAGGCAGGCAAACTAAACTTAACCAAACAAGGGGAACTTAAATACACAGAGCCAACAAGGTTAATGATGAACACATGAACAGAATGACACAATCAACTCAGAAACCATGACAACTAAGCCTAGTTCACACTACATGACTTAAAACGTCGGCAGATCGCTGTACTGTTCAGACTACTTGACTTGCTGTCTGTCTTGAAGTTGTTGTGGTGTTCACACTACGCCAATGGTTCCCAACCCTGGTCCTTGAGGCACCCCAACACTGCACATTTTGCATGTCTCCTTTCTCTGATACACCAATTTCAGGTCTTAAAGTCTCTACTAATGAGCTGATGACCTGAATCAGGTGTGTTTGATTAAGGAGACGTGAAAAACGTACAGTGTTGGGGTGCCTCCAGGACCAGGGTTAGGAACCACTGCACTACGCGACACTACGTAAATGATCGGCAACAGGGAGTCGCACACTACACAAGCTGATAACAACTCTGTCACCCAATGACTCTACACGGTCCCCAAACCACGTTTTCTCATGAAAACACACACGAGAAGTTGAACGGGAATGACTCGAAACAATAAATGAAACAGGAGTTGTTTATTTGAAAATGAACATCGGGAAGAAATTAGTGCTGCAAGCTGTTTGCGTGATGATCTGTTCTGAAAAATTTTGCTCCATTTCTTGTCTCCAAAATTTTCTTAAAGCCATGCTGCTGCTGCTGTTTTTCTTCTTCTTCTGCTGACCTCAACCCATGCCTTGCTCTCTCATTGGCTGTAGCTCGTCGAGACACCTGACACCTCATGATGTCGAGTCGGCCGACTGGTCCAGATATTTAGCATGCTAGATATTCACATCAGCGAGCCACTATGATGCATAGTTGAGTAGTTAACACATAAAGATTGCCGAGTGCTGATCACCCGCTGATTTTCCCCCGATCACAGCCTGACCTGTCGGCGAGCTCGTTAACTTGCAAATCGGGCTTAAATCGGGCTTAAAATCCTGTAGTGTGAACTAGGCATAAGGATGGGTAGGAACTAGAACAAAGGAAAAAGGAAACTGAATAGAAACAAACTAAAAGTCCATGAAAATGAAACTAGATGAAACCCTTGAATATCTGTTACACAATCAGTCATTTTGGCACTTTTAATTTCAGGATCCACATACCTTGCTCATCCATGACTTCCTTTTGCACATGGCCCTTCTCCTTTTCACTGCCTCCCACAGCCGTCTCTGACCTGCACAGCCAGAGAAAGAAGAAAAAACACCAGAAGGTCTAAATATAATAAATATGTCCAATATATAATGTATAATAAATTGTACTATAATATTCACCTAAACTTTTTATATTATATTATTATACAGTCAAAATAAATAAATCAAAATATAAGGCCAAATAAATACAAACACATAAACAATTATTAATAATAAAAAAATTATAAATAAATAAATGTATTCTTCCAAAATTCAAAACTCTTCGCACACTTAAAACACATGCAACTCCACTCACCTGGTCGGCCCATGCCAATCTTTTCAAGGTCCTCATTTTTGACATAGTCAAAGTGTGAGAGACGTGTGACATTGAGCTCATCACGAATCCGCATAAAGTACTGCTGGAGCTGCACGTCAGTGAGCAGCTCCATGAGCCACTCCGTTCCCTCTTCAGACTGCATGTCTCCACCGTCCGGCTGCACACACATTACATAAGACTTATTGTTTTAAGAATAAACAATCTTATCCTCCACAGTTCTGCTTCTCAACCTATCTAATTTTAAGGATATTTAGACATTTTTACTAGAAAACAAGACAAAAATACAGTTTTTTTTCTTTGCTGTGTAGAGAAAACATTAAACCTCATCTTTTACCTCATCTTTTACATTATAGTGCCGCTGGTAGTCTGAGACCGCCGCCATTTCTACGTGGAAAGCAGTGCTTTCAGGCAGCGTGTGTATGAGTAAACCGCACTCCCTCGGGGTGTGTCCTGTTTTCACAGTAAACTGTCGAGCGTCTCTAATCTGTGAGATATATTTGTTGGATTCTTCTTCATCCCATCAGCTGCTACAAAAGCTCTCTCTTTTATAAGCTAAAGTCAAGAATAAAGTGTGTAATCTGATTCCTCTACGAAACAATAGTTGCAGTCTCATGAGAAACTGGGTCTTCTGCTGCAAAACCTCTGCCCAGCCTCCAGAGAATTAGTGTGAAAGATTATTCCCACCCTTTTGGATGAATGAATCAGTGCACACAGTGCCTTAAATCCAGTTAATTGCAGCCCTGTCTTGTCTTCCAAACATGTCAGCATCCATCCTCTGTCTCATCTCCTTTAGTCTCCACTCCTTGTCAGATGAATAAAAAGGTCACAGCTTCTTAATGGTAAGGCATTTCCATCCATTATAAGAGCCTTTTCCAGGAGCAGCATTTTGCTCTCTCTTGATGAGTCACTGCGAGCTGCAGTACGAGTGCAGCAGACCTCAAACACAATCCTTAAAAGCAGTATTGCTGTATAAAACTGAATGTGCTCTAAGTGCTCAATATCCCACTGCTTAACCTCGCACACCAAAAAAAAAAAAAAGTGTTATATTGATATATGGATGGATGGACGGACAGATAGAGATGACTGTTAGATAGATAGATAGACAGATAGACAGACAGACAGATAGACAGACAGATAGATAGATAGATAGATAGATAGATAGAGTAGTTTTTGTAGATTATGTAGTTCTGCAATGATTTAACATAAATATGCTCAGATATTATAAAGAATTAGCTGACTGTCCGTGTCCAATCAGAACCAAGTATATTCCAGAGAGCCGTATAATATATAGACAAAGAGGGTATCAAAACATCATTGATTGTTTTGGGGAAATGTATTGGGCCGGTTGTACCAGCTGTACGCAAGTTACAACTTAGCCTAGTTTTGCAGCAAATGGGCCCCAAGTTACAACTTACGCACTACTAAATATTTTTCCGTTGCACCATTACACTTGAAGCGTAACTCTACGTATAAACTAAATATTTATGAAAGCGTCCGGTCAGGAGTAACGGTTGGAATAAAATAGCAGACTGAGTGAACTGCATCAATATGCGCTTCTTTTACCAGACAACATTCAATCCTTTATGATGCTGCTGACATTTACACTCACGTACATATTAAGAGAGAGAACAATATGTGAATGTGTTTTTTTAGCGCTTCTTCAACATCCCATCTACAGCACGCCAGTGTGCTTCAGTCCGTGTTGCGCATGTCAAATGAAATCAGCCATAATAAATAAAGGCATTTCTTTTTTTTTTTTCTTTCAGTATTTATTGATACTTATTCATTTCAATTACAGTTTCTGAATATTATTTACATATAAAAATAGCTTACCAATAGGCTAATATTATTCATGATTAAGTAGTATAATTTTTAATGGAAACTTATTTTTACCATTAGTTGTGTGAGGCAAAAGAAGTTAGAATGAAGGATAAATTGAAATTCACAGCATTTAATAAACAAGTTCTGCTCACGTATTTGAAGGCTTCTATTGGGTAATTTAGAGTAAACGACTTCATATTATGCGACTACGCATTACTTTACCAAGAGCTTTCGAACTACTAGCTACGTGCTGCCTTACGAACAACTGGTGCAACCGAATAATGTATAGATTTAGTTACAAACTAACTAGTAGTTATTAAGCCTCTTGTGTGGACTTTACGTTCTAATTTAAGTAAGAACTTATTACGAATGGCTGGTGCAACCTCACACAGGACATGATGACCCATTCACTACTGATGAATTATGCAGCCTCCCATGTGAGTAAGAGACAGCATTTCCAACACCGAGAATTAAAACCGCCCCCAGATGTACATAAACATATTTATTCACACTTTCTCACTAAACACCTAACTATCAGAAACCACCCGCTGAGTGTGATGGCAGCAAGTCGTAACTATGACAATGATGCAGTAACCCTTGGCAACTAGAGCATGACTAAGAGCAGACAGAATGCCACATGGCATCTCTTTCCCTTTTAGAGATCCCCTACGCACATGAGGACTTCCAATATAGGACACAGTTGTAGGTGGCAGGGTGGGTGCATGTATACCCTTTGAAACTCTGATACTGTTAGATAAGATATGTGACAGACTCACACTGGCCTCATAAGAGCCTCATATAAGTTTAGAGAACTAAATATAGCCTTGCTTATTGACCCATCTAGGCATTAATGGTAAAGTGCTATCCAGCGGTCTTACCAAGTTTTAGGTCAGTCCTGAGGTCTTCAGAAAATGTCCACTAAATACAAGCTGATGTCAGGGACTGTCCTCCTGTGGTCCAGTGTTTGACAAGGCCATGGCAGGCAAATATGAGCCAAATCAAAGTCAACTTCTGACTGGTCAACATCAAACTGCAAAACTGCGGAGATGAATGAACATAGAAGGAGTTGAGCTTTGATAACCTTGTTACAATGTGTCTTTACAAACATTTGACATCACTGCAGAGATTCACACATATGTACGTAGGAGGATGATCATGAATCATATAAACATAATCCGTTGAATCATCATCTTTTGAATCGAGTGACTGCTGCCCTGATTATACAAAGAGCATATACTATAGCAATCAAGACCAAGCTGTGAAGAAGCATTTCATTGGTCGAGCCAACTGAACACACCCCCGTCACTAAAGGAGTCAAATGTTTTGAATCTGAATTAGATGCAAATCAAAGTTGAACTATTTTAACTGGGACGTCCCATTTGTTCATATCTATTGTGCTTTATTGTGATTCATGATGAAAACGCTTATGTTTCTGTAGTCTATTTGTACATTTGTAGGCATGCAAATTAATGCTGATTATTTGGGTTGCGAACGACTGTATTAATGAATCATACCCAAACCCCATGCTGGTGTAAATATAACCTTCATTGATTGAATCAGCATTTAAATCTGAATAAATATTTTCTGAGAACAGATTCAAAAGACTGAATCAATGTAAGGAATCTAAATCATTGTTAGTATCAATGATATATGTTTCTTCAAACATTTTGAATTAGTTTTTATTTCAGTATTTTCTGTTTTTATTTTATTTTTTGTTATATTTTTAGTAATTTTGTAGCGTTTTTTTTCTTAATTTTATTATTATTATTTTTTTATGTCTATAGGCTATAGTTTTAATTGATTTTATGTTTTGTTTTAGTTTTAATTATTTTAGTACATTAAACTAAATGGAAATAAGAAGTGCTGCTTTGGCAATTTAACAATTTAGTTTAAGTTTCAATTTTTTTTAAGTTGTGACCACACCAGCTGAATTATATATTAATACACCTGAGATAATGAGCTGGGGCTGTCACATGTGACCTGAATAATGAATAAATTACATTATTTATTAAACAATAGCGGTTTTTGCCATATTGCTGCTGGCTAGTGCTAAAGAACACCATTTACTATCTGGTTAGAACCGGGTACAGTACTGCCTCTCCCGACTTATTTCTTTTATTATAACATCATTACAATAAAATTAGCTTAGATCTACCAGAAATATTAATCAGAACAGATCCAAAAGGAAATATAAAAACGTATTGAGTTTCCCACCTGGATTTCAGGAACCACAATCACGTTTCGAGTCCGCTCGGGCCCATGCTGTCTAGATAGGCTGCTCGCTAGGTTTTGAGACACAGCCATTGTCTTCTTTATTTTCAGATACAGAATCGGACATAAATAACAAGCTAATTCAGACAAGCGTAAGTAACCACTCTATATGTAGATAGTCAAAAATTCAACCAAATGGGCATTAAAGGCCGGTGTTATCCGTACTGATCACAGGCTCTGTAGTGATACATTCATGATGGTTAGCGCAGCACAGTGATACCTGCATCGATTCCCGAACATTCAGTACCGCGGTCCGAGCTCACATTCATATTGTTTTGAGTAAGTGATATTTCAAACACAGTCAAATTATTTGTTTACCTCTTAAATTGTCATTTGAAAGAGCATTAGTTGCTCAGCGGTCATAATCCTTCTTCAGCCTCGGTACACAGATAGATCTCTCTCTTAAAGCGACAGGGCTTTTTTTTCACAGACGAGCGTGCGGAGGAGATAACGTTCTTAATGGGAATTTTGCATTGACTGTGGTTCTTAAATTAATCGAAATATTATTCGTGTAAATCTAAACATGTACATGTGAATTATAACATTATTTTGTCCATTGAAGCTTCTCTTCATGGTGACTACAGCATTAGTGGTAGTAGCCTGTGTAGCCGGTAATAGTAGTGGCACATTTTAAGGTAATTTACTTTAACATAGCCAACTGACTAATTATTTCCTAAAACTAATCCAATTACAAATACACGATTATACTGTACATCTTTTGGCACTTTTAGAATTAAGATTTTAATTAGATGTTTTCAGAAAATTACAGATCTGTTCCAAGTCTTCTAAAGAGTTTATTACAGAGCGAACGTCAACAGATATTGGATAAAAACATCAGTTTTAACAATCAATAGCAATCAAAAGGTTGTAATCCCAACACCCAACACATCTAGACATATTTGAATGATCAATTTTCTGTGCTATTTATTTTGATTCATATGAGTTTGGTAAATCAAACACTGCTTGTCTAGAAGTAAGAGTTCATTCATAAGTTGAAATATCTAGTAACTTTATTTAGCCATCACATTCAGATACTTTGCTTTGTTTTAACATAATCTGTGATGTTTAGATTTATTTCATGCATATTTCTACATGCTATGAAAGACCAAACACATTCTGTGACTTTCTGGTAAGTGCCACAATGAGGGAAAAAAAGACAGCGAGTTGCAGACTAGTATGCAACACACTCTTGAAAAACCCGTCCACCAAAACTTTGTCTGAAGTGCATTCAAACATGAAACTATTATAAAAAATCGGCAGTAAGCTAAACAGTCATACACCATATCCTAATCATTATGCAATACGACCACATCCTCTTTTCTAACGCCTGCCTTATAGAAAAAAAAGACCAGATACAGAAATAAGCAACCAAAAATCAAACATCTGAAAGAGCCTCTCTAAAAATTACACAATATCAATTTTTTTTAAACAAACAGGCCAGAAAAGTGAAATCTGAAACAAGAACCCATTGAAACATTGAAAGAAACTGACAAAGAAAAACAAAAAATGACTAGATGTCATGACTAGATGTAACAATCATTTTCAACAGTTACCCAGATTACAGTTATTAATAGTAACAAAGCAGGAAAAAAGCCCTGGTAAGTGCCACAATGAGGGAAAAAAAAGACAGCGAGTTGCAGACTAGTATGCAACACACTCTTGAAAAACCTGTCCACCAAAACTTTGTCTGAAGTGCATTCAAACATGAAACTATTATAAAAAATCGGCAGTAAGCTAAACAGTCATACACCATATCCTAATCATTATGCAATACGACCACATCCTCTTTTCTAACGCCTGCCTTATAGAAAAAAAAGACCAGATACAGAAATAAGCAACCAAAAATCAAACATCTGAAAGAGCCTCTCTAAAAATTACACAATATCAATTTTTTTTAAACAAACAGGCCAGAAAAGTGAAATCTGAAACAAGAACCCATTGAAACATTGAAAGAAACTGACAAAGAAAAACAAAAAATGACTAGATGTCATGACTAGATGTAACAATCATTTTCAACAGTTACCCAGATTACAGTTATTAATAGTAACAAAGCAGGAAAAAAGCCACACAAAAACACGATAATGAAAAATAAATATTTACATAAACTATGGGAAACACTGTTCCCGATAATTTGATCCACCCTACAGTGAAATATGAGGATCACTGTCCTCGATATATACACGCCGGTAGGCAAAAACTACCTTCGAACACTCCACATTATGGAAGACACTGCTCCCGATAATGGATTTAGAATAGAAATATAAATGTTACAGAGAAATGCTGTTGTCACAAAAATGCTTGAATTTTCCACGAATTTGGTCAAAATGGAAACTAGCCTTGCCAATTTTTTACATGGTTTCAGATCAACAAGAACAAAAAAGATACTTTAATACAAGGAGATCTGTAAAACCATCATTCAAAATCTCCACTCCACAGTATGGGCTGTGGCGTTTGACGTTCTGGTTTCAATTTTGCCAATTTAGGGCTTTACTTCAAAAAGAAGTGGAACTGCTCCGTAACATGAAAACAGGTGCTTTAGAGCTTACTTCCTCGAGCACCTGTAACAAGAGACATTTCTAATGAAAGCTGTTGGTAACATGTATTTCTTTTAGCAGATGCTGCTTTTAAGAACTGACAGTATAACCGTCACAATTATGGAAGTCACTGCTTCCGATAATTACAAAAAAAAGAAGACACTTTTATAGTGAACACTGTCACTGATAAATAAATAAGAAATAAATATATTATGGTCCTCATTTGGTCACAGAGGCTGAGTTGGGGTTTTACACAATGGGTTAAGGGACTAAAATTCCCAAGTAGCAGCCGAGGACAAGATTTATTCAGTACGCACATGTGCAAATTGATAATGTCATGGATGAAAAAAACATCTTCAAGACGAAACCAGAAATTATAAATTGAACCTAACATGCACCTTAAAACAATTTCCAGAGGCACAAATTTGATGACCTTGTGCTCTGATTTTTTATTGGTTAAATATTGTATTATTTATCCCTAGTCCAGCAATAATAATAATAATATATATAGTAATAAGAAATATATCTATATTAGTATATCTATATCTACTATAGTTCTTAATATGATTAAAGCACTTACACAGTTTAATTTAAAGCTGTCATATCAGAAACTTTGAAGATATGCTTTGTCAAAATCTCAAATAAATTCAGATCTACTTCATAGTGACAGGATTATATTTGTGTATCTAGAAACATTTTCAAGTTGGTTGATGCAACAGTGAAAAACGCTATATCTCGTTGTCCAAGGACCAGATATCTCCAGCCAGGTCATTGGCACAGCCCTGGATGGTCCAGGTGAGTAGAGCGAACTTGTTTAAGACCTGGTCTATGTCGAAGCTTGTCTTATTTTCATGTACATCACCCAAGTACATTTCCAGGTCTGTGGCGGTTTGCCACCCATTACCAAGGAAAATGTGGCGGAACGGGACATCTCTCAAAGAGACGTAAGGAGAGAGAAAATTATGCTCCACCTTAAAAGAGGAAGAAAACAACTAAAACATGAGAACCTGGCCAATATGTATTGAGCAACGATACAAGATGAGCCTAGAAAGACCAAGAGAATAACTTCACCTTCATTATGCGGTTATTGATTATGCGACACATCTCCATATCATTCAGGTCGGTATTCCCTATGTCAGTATTTAGGGATGCTGCAGCACGACTGTAGGAGCTCTTTGCAGCATTCAACCACTTCGTTGACAAAGACTCAGTTTTATTGACCTGTTAAAAGAACATTGAGAAACAATAAAGTTAAGTTACAGATTTATTATTTTTTTTATTGCAAAAACATAATTCATATGACAAAGAGCATTACCTTGTTATTTTTGAGAGCGTCAACATGCTGGATGATGGCGCTCACACGGTTTGTGATGTCATCAGAATACTTGGTAACATCTAGTCTGAGGATCTGGTCATGGACGAGCCGGAGGGCCATTTGCCCAGCAACCTGAGCAGCAAGCACCGACAACTCAACCACTTTCTGATTGGTGACGCTGTCTAGGTGAGCTTGATCATCCAGATTTGTTCCAAAATACTCTTTAGCAGAGGCCTGGTGGAAGAACATCATAAAATGAGTATGCAAACATTTGGATGACTCTTTGTATAAGACACTTCTGAATAGAGCAACATTTTGAGCTGTCAGTCTCGTAAAACCCTTGAGCTTGAATGATAAGAAAATGGCTTGTGGAGTATAAGTAAGGGTCTGAATGCATGATTATAAGCATTCATTTTTTTAATCACATTATTTTCATTTTAATTAAACTGATGAAGGCAGATGAAACACTTACCGGAGGAGAGACAAAACTGAAAGACACGGATGGGATTCCAGACATGGCCAGAAAAGGATATGCACTATCATCCATCTGCATGGTTTTCAGACTGAGCACAAAAACAGATTCATGTGCATCATATCACCGCAGAAACAATCATGATTATATTGATATTTCCATCATCAAAACACAAATCAAAGCAGATTTACTCACAGTGGTGAAAGAACACCACCATAACTCTGTAGAAGGCCTGAATTTGACCCAGGGCTTTTGACCTTTCCCAGGGTCTTCTGCAGAAGGGTGTGCAACAAAGGACTAGCAGAAGCTCTAAAGGAACCCGCACCTGTAGATTAAAGAGAAACACATATAAGATTTTCAAAGAATAGGGAGAAAAGTAGGAAATGGGAGTGGAAATGGAATGAGTGGAAACTCAAACTTGAGCACCACTAAATGAGCACCACCAAATTTCCCAGGTGCACAGGCACTAATATGCACTTTTGTTAATGCAAACACAACAGATTTAAATTTAATTTTAAAATGAAGGAATTAAGATAGAATTACATTAATAGTGTATAAGATTCAAATAATAATAATAATAATTAAAAATATAGCCAGAAACATCAATCATCAGGGGGCTGTTTCATAAAACAAGTTTACCAAATAAGCCAGGCTTATTTCAGTTAGTCTGACTTATTTTCACTTGATTTGGTTTCATAAAGCAAAATTACCATAGCTCAATCTCAGTCACTGTGGCAGCTTATGCTGGGAAACTAACCTGGTCTGGAGCAGGCTAACTGTCAGGCTAAGCGGAGTTCCTCTAACACTGACCAATAGGAACGCATTGATATTACCACTGACTCTCTCACATACAATTAATTAGTTGACTTTATTATTAGTCCAAAAACAAAAGTATACAGAAAATGCAACTTAAATAATCAAATAAATAAAAAAATAGGCTACAACCAACTATATTTAATGTATTGTGCCCAAAATGTAACAACATTTTTTTTTTTTTTTTTTTAAAGATATATGAAAACATTTTAACATGGTTGCTACTTGCACATTCAGTTGATCAGCAGTTTCTAGCCATGCAGCCTTTCTCTCAGGTTTTGACAGCTGTACCTTTTATGGTTATTAGTAGAACATTAAACATTACAATCTAAAATTGCTCTTTAAAGCATTAAAAACACTAAATTAAAAGTTAAAACCACTGAATTAAAAATTAAAATCCGACTACATTTTAACTGATAAGAGGAACACACAACAACTCATTTAAGATAGTAGGGCTGTATTAGCAGCTTACATTTGATTTACAGTTACTGCTATGATAAAAATTCACTTATATGTAGGATTAAAATTCTACATGCGTCACATTTAATGTCCAACAACCAATATTTTAGCAGAATGCATATTTTATTCAGAATTATTGCGCCATTATTCTATTGCGTTCCATCTGTTTGTCCAATCACCAATGTCCCATGTGGAAGATTAAGAGATAAAAGTGCCACGTATCTCTTCCTATATGATGTGTTTTTACAGCAAAGTCAAAATCTTGGAATTTCCATTTGATATGGAAGGGTTTAATAAACAGAAATACATGCTATTCTGAAAAGGCACAACAGAGATAATTTATATGTAATTAGGTAACACTTTACAATAAGGTTCATTAGTTAACATTAGTTAACTACTTAAGGTAACATGAACTAAGAATGAACAATACTTCTACAGCATTTATTAATCTTAGTTAATGTTTGAGGAAAACACAACATCTCAAATGCATTAAACAGCACAAATATCCGCTGTTTGCCATGGTGGATCGATTTGATCTATGATCGACCTTAAGGGCTGCTTAAGAATAAGCGTGCACATCAAATTATCCTGACTCATTGAATTACTGTATTTTCATTAACTAACATTAACTAATGGAACCTTATTGTAAAGTGTTACCTGCATTTATTTATCTATTAGTCATAATGGGCCAGACCTAATAAATATATGGGCCAATTTTCACAAAACTGGGCACACATACTTGTTCCCTTTCATGGGAACTTCGAACTGCGTCCTCTAGGGGTCTGTACGACAATGTCCATTTTAATAATGTTTGGAAATTCAGATTTGAAGTTATTAACCAGTAAAATCTGACTACCTACTGGCAGATATGTTTTATGTAGCCAATTTAGCTTTGTGTTACTGTATGTGCCAAGTTTCAACTTCCGATCATATGGTTATGCCATCACTAAGGATTTTCAGTTGTATCACCCCTTATACAATAGGTGCAATTTTGACACAACTTGGTGTGCGTCCTCAGAATGTCAGGGTCTGTGTTTCAAGTTCTGTTAAGATTGGGAAAAAAATCATTTCTACTCCTTAGGGTTCCAGGGTTATGATACAAAATGCAAATTGCCTTATAATAGCGCCACGTAATGTCGGCCAAATGTGTGTGTGCCTGAGTTGATCTGCATGTTTGGGACAATCCTGCCAAGCTTGGGGTCCCAACAATTTATGGTCTCTGATGCCCATATGATTTTATGCCAGACAAAGAAGAGGAAGAGGAGGAGGAGAAGGAAAAGTCTTAACTAGAAATAGAAGTGATACTACTTGGTACCGTAACACATTATTCATTTATCGTGACAACCCTAGTAGATACAGTATATGAGTCATTTTTTTGTCATTTACAAAACAAACTGTAATTGGATGAACAAAAGGCTATAATAAATGTTTGTCACTTGAACACAGTAAACTTACCAGTAACAACACCATCCAAACTGATGTAAGTAAAGGCTTTTCTGTCCAGTGATGCCCAGTATCCCTGAATAGCAAAAGACAGCACATTACAAAACCGGCATTTCAATTCACACTATGTGTAATTATTCAAGCCAAGCACAGATGACATCAGCACACAAACCTCAAGCCATTCAGTCACTCCGATGTTACCAAAATCCCCTGCAGTCCAGCTGGCAAACACAATGCTTCTTTTGGGTCTGAAACCATCTATGGTGAAGAGGATGAGGAGTGAGTGCATGCCACAACAATACACCCTCAGGCTGCATTTAAAAACACAGGCACGTAAGGACATACCTTTCTTCAACTCTGTGAAAGCACTCGCAAGCTCCAGCAGAAGAGTAGTGCCAACTGTAGACTTGGCATATCCCAAGCTCAAGGAGTCCCTCTGCGCTCCAATCACAACATAACGATCTACCGGATTCACACCACCACAGTTAGATCACAGATATTTTGTTCTATAAACGTGTTTGAGCAAAATGTACAAACTCACCAGGGTCCATGTATCCTTTGATGACTCCAAACACATTATGGATCTTGGTGTCGGCAAGATTATTATTGACTACTACGGTTACGCTGTCACTCTCTCTTCCCAACTTGTAACTGTGGAATTCACCCTTAAATCTATCAGGGGCATTATCTCCTCCCATTTTTCTGTGAGAAATTTGAGAATACCAATTAAGCTTTTTGTTTCTCAAAACAGGTTTTAAAAAAAATGATCAAGGTAAACCAAAACCTATAACATACGCAAAGATTGCTCGTGCCATGTTAGCAGTGATGGTTTGGGCGAGTATTCCTGGAAGACCAGAGGACTTGGCAGGAGGAAACTGTGTGTGATTAAAAGATGGGAATCCTGGGGTGTAAGGATCACCTGATCCCAGGTGGACCTGTAATTAAGGACCGGAATATGTAAATAAATGTGCTTGTTAAATTAATTTGTAATATTCAGTTCAAACTGTCACAGGTAGGGGTGTGCCATATCATACCATCAACGATAATACCAGTTTAAATTTTTACATGATCAATGATATAGCGACGCGATGACGTATGGCACATTTACGTTCCCTAGCGCGCACACAACAACAACACCACAAACCCAATAGGTGTATTCGACTTGAAGCAGCGCTGCGCAGACTGATCGGTGTATGACATCAAAGTATCGTGAGAGCCAAAATTCGGTCAAAATTTCACGTCATACAAAATTCCATCGGTCTGCTTCAAGTCGAACACACAGCGCACAACAACAACACCACAAACCCAATAGGTGTGTTTGACTTGAAGCAGTGCTGTGGAGACTGATCGGTGTATAACATCAAAGTATCGCGAGAGCATATTTGAGCGCACACTCTTAAGTCACTCTCGCGGTATTTTGACGTCATACACCAATCGCGATCGGTCTGCTTCAAGTCGAACACACAGTTGCTGCTGCCACCCTATGACAATAGATTTACACTTCGAATTAGGTAGTCTGTCATCGATGACAGTAGCTCATTGGAAAAGGATGGAAAATGCCCTTCATTTTGTTTGCACTAATAAATGCTGCTGCCTGCCAGTTGCAATCACCAATAAAACGTTGTTCCATATTTTTTTCTATATAGTCATAAATATCATTATCGCAATTATTCTTGAAATATCGTGATATAATTTTGAGGCTACAGTGGGTACGGAAAGTATTCAGACCCCCTTCAATTTTTCACTCTTTGTTATATTGCAGCCATTTGCTACCCACTGTATATTGCCCACCCCTAATCACAGGTACTTATTTTTAATGAATCATACGAGTAGGGATGTAACATTGCACCCCGAGCCATTTGAAAATCCATGCAAATATGTGATGACTCAAATCGGTTGATATGTTAAATTAATCACGAAACAGTTGGGGGTGGGAGTTTATATGAATGTATCTCTGAGGGGAACTGACTGTCTTAAGAAAAGTTTTAAGATGATATTTTCTTTTCATCTTATCTCTGTATAATGCATATTAAAGTAGTGTTTATAAGCAGCATTGCTGTGTTTACAGTGGTAACCAAAGAAACACTGTATTGCTGCAGTTTCATAAGCGTCACCTGCTGGCAGAGAATGATTTTGCATTTTCATTCAGCCCGTCTGCTGTTTTTTTTCGTGCAGATGTTTTATGTAGCATATTTTCACAAAACTAAAGTAAGCTCATTCTGTTTTTGCTTCAAATTTCAAGATTATACAATCTAATTTAGTTTAAAACTCCTCATGCTGCATGTACAGTATCTCACAGAAGTGAGTACACCCCTCACATTTTTGTAAATATTTTATTATATCTTTTCATGTGACAACACTGAAGAAATGACACTTTGCTACAATGTAAAGTAGTGAGTGTACAGCTTGTATAACAGTGTAAATTTGCTGTCCCCTCAAAATAACTCAACACAGCCATTAATGTCTAAACCGCTGGCCACAAAAGTGAGTACACCCCTAAGTGAAAATGTCCAAATTGGGCCCAAAGTGTCAATATTTTGTGTGCCCACCATTATTTTCCAGCACTGTCTTAACCCTCTTGGGCATGGAGTTCACCAGAGCTTCACAGGTTGCCACTGGAGTCCTCTTCCACTCCTCCATGACGACATCACGGAGCTGGTGGATGTTAGAGACCTTGCGCTCCTCCACCTTCTGTTTGAGGATGCCCCACAGATGCTCAATAGGGTTTAGGTCTGGAGACATGCTTGGCCAATCCATCACCTTTACCCTCAGCTTCTTTAGCAAGGCAGTGGTCGTCTTGGAGGTGTGTTTGGGGTCGTTATCATGTTGGAATACTGCCCTGCGGCCCAGTCTC